TCAAGGAATAATACATTATACAGCGCAATGCGGAATACCACCAGCTATAGAGGAGTACAACAAATCCCAGCAATAGTACATTATACAGTCGTGCAATGCCAAATACCACTAGCTATATAGAGGACTACAACACCCAGCAATAGTACATTATACAGCGCAATGCAGCATACCACCAGCTATAGAGGACTACAAAACCCAGCAATAATACATTATATACAGCGCAATGCAGAATACCGCCAGCTATAAAGTACTATTGCTGGGATTTGTTGTATTCCTCTATAGCTGGTGGTATTCTAAATTGTGCTGTATAATGTACTATTGCTGGGTTTTGGAGTCCTCTATAGCAGGTGCCATTCTGCATTGATTGCTGTATAATTTTACACTTTTCATTTCACTATATTGCACACCACACTTTTTTTTCTTTTTTTTACTTCCACCACTCCAAGCTTGCTCCTGTGATGGACTGCACTCTCAATACAAACTAGTAGTCCCATCACTGGAGCCATTTTTTTAAATGTATTTTAATTTTTATCCGATTAATCGAACTTAATAATCGGCTAACTAATAGATTTTGAAAATAATCGTTAGCTGCAGCTCTACTATTGTTTAATCTGTGGTTTACTATGACCCCCAGATCTTTTCCATTTCTGACTTCCCTAGTGGAGTACCTATTAATGTGTATTCCTCTCGCCTATTTTTAACCCCAAAATGCATTACTTTACATTTTTCAACATTAAATCTCATCTGCCATATAGTTGCCCACTCCCTTATTTTATCCAGGTCCTCCTGTAATGTTCTAGTGTCTAAGTCCGGGTCTATTGTCCTCCCAATTTTAGTATTATCTGCAAACACAGAAACATGGCTATTTACAACTTTCCCCGATATAATTAATAAACAGGTTAAACAGTATTTGGTCTGGGACAGAACCCTGGGGCATGCCACTCTCGACCTTAGACCAATTTGAAAACCATAGACCAATTTGAAGTTCAATTTCAGCATTACTTTAAATTTTTCAACATTAAACCTCATCTGCCATATAGTTGCCCACTCCCCTATTTTATCCGTATATATCCATATAATGTTATAATGTCTAAGTCCGTGTCTATTACCATGCCAATTTTAGTATCTTTTGTATGCATCTTATTATATATTCCTTCCTATGTTGTATTCTGTTATTGCTTTGAATCTTTTCTTCCAGGAGTGCAAGGCTGCAAGGTCTACTTACACTCACCTGGGACACTGCGGTGTGATCAATACAAATGCACTGATGTACGCTGCATTAGAGCAGCCCATTCATTTGAATGAACTTCTCACTGCTGAGAAGGTACTTTGGGGTACCATTCAGAACAAATGTGTTACCTCAACATGATTGTGTTAATGGGCCTTAAATGTTTCAAAGCGGAGTTTTGAGCACAGAAGTGCCATATGCGGTGTGTGGCCTTTTTAATTTATTGGAGTCCTCTGTAGTAGCATTACTACACTTCAATGAAAAAAAATGAAACTTACAGGTCAACTATTTTAGAAGGAACCAAGTTAGCGGTTTAATAGGATCCCTACTGTCTATATTTTGGCACAGTCCTTCATTGGTCACCAGTTAACCAATATTTATGAGCTGTGTTTACTGTGAATGTTGCTCTGATTTATACCTACCTCATTAGATGCATCTCGATGCAGATGTAAGCTATATTTAGTTTACTAAAGCATTGTATTGTATTGATTTGCACATTTTTATTTGCAAATGGACCATGGTTTTCGCAGTGTAATATGGAGGGAGTTATAAAGGGCCTGCACA